TCGGCCAGATCTGAGAAATCAGATCTAGATTCATCATTCCCCCTTCTTCTCTGCATCCAATCCATGATCCTTCATTCTCTTTCCCATTCCATCCTTCATTAGAACGAACATTAAATAGTAAGCCTCAAATTCTTTAAGGAGACAACCTCGCTGCTATCTACAAGTATTTCGTGAATCAAATTAGAACATAACTCATAATATGTTTGCTTGAGGCAATTAAAGACTAATGACACTTGTAGAAAATCTAACTCATTAAATGGCGTCGTTGCCGGGGAATTTCGAGCACTAAACGATTTTATGCATGTTGTTTTTAATGAAGATGCTTTTAGTTTCTTGAGTTTTATCTGCAGCAGACAAGGTGATGTGGATACCAGTCAATTACTTAGAGAAATTCTAAAGAACAAGGAAAGCGACTTTGAAGAATTCTGTGCAGAGATATTGAGCAAAATTTGATACGAATTTAGGAGAAATTGACTTGAACAATATCCACTATATCATGTCATTTAACTTTCTTTGTTGAATGTGGCAGGTTTATTTGAGCAAAATCAACCTCAAGAGAAAAGATTCTTTTTAAAAGCATTAAAAAATTTCATATAATTTTTGATATATTGAATTGAGTATATTTGAAATTTTAACTGCCTTCTTTATCTTGATAAAGAGTGAATTGCTCAAAATAGTTATAGTGTGTGCTTACAAAGATTGGAAATCTAACTTGTAGGACTGATTAAGGATATTAATCTACGAATAGATTCAAAATTCATTGTCTAACCTATATTTTGTTTTGCGACCTATATTAATAGTCGCATTTAACATCTATTGTGAGAAGACGAGGCAAGGGAAACCTCAGGCAGAAAAATTAGCCTCAAAACAGGTAGAAACCTCAAAATTCGACTTTCAAAATTTTCACCTGTTTTTCTGCATTAGATGATTTCTCAGAAGCTTTTATCAATCATAATTGCTACATATCTGTAGGATAATTGGCTAAAATTCTGTTTTTTAGTTTTGGTGGCTAATATATGTCTATTGGAAATTCTGTTTTAAAATCTAGTAAGTTCCGAAATTTTTCTGAAGCATCATAAAGGCCACCTTGAAAATAAGGACAGAAACGTTTATTATAGGCTAGTTCATTCTTCCGCATGATCAATATATACTAAACTGTCTGTTCTTTCTCAGTTCAGATTACTTGTAAAGATTACATCTATCTTTTGAAAATAGTAATTTTGAATATTTTCATGCAATTTTATTCATTGAGATCATTGAGGATTTTCTACACGTCCTGCTAGTCAAGGTATATAAGACTGTCATAGTAATAAGTAGACGTAGAACAAATTAACAAAGTTAGAAGTAAGCAAATGCAAGAACGTAGATCTCAGAAGGACATAGGTATTCCACCAGCAAAAGAGTTAGGAGAATCATCACAAGTAGAAGTGACTGTGGAAAAGGACACAAAAATAGAAGAAAACCAAAGGATAAATAGAAGAATGTGTCTTAAAGATTACTCAGCTCCCTTACAGTATAGACTAGGGAATAAAATTAATGCTCCTATAAAGAATGATGTCAACTTTTGAGTTGATCATCATCTTGTCCAAATGTTACCACATTTTCATGGGATGGCTCACGAAGAGCCATATAAACATTTGGAAGATTTCTCACAAGTTTGTGAGATTTCACATTACCCAACATTCCCATTGAGATAGTGAAGATGAGATTGTTCCCCTTCACACTCAAAAATAATGTTATAGACTAGCTTCGTGCCTTGGTCTAGGAGCTAAATTCGTGGATTGACATGGAGGCAGCATTCCTTAAGAAATTTTATTCAATAGAAAAATGAATTCTATTAGGAGGGCAATCAGGGATTTCATACAAGGGCCTTGATAACATATGAATTCTGTATGTTAAGTATGACATAATTTGGACAATTAATGCATAATTTTATGCAAAATTACATTTAACTATACATAAAATAAGTGAAGCATAACTTATGATAAATGTTCTAAATATAGGCTTAATTTTGCGATTTTTTCGTATTTTCTATAGTACGTGTATTTATTTATTTATATGATTCACTTGGATACTTTAATGACCGAAACATTCGTAATGGGATTATTTGTTCTCCATTCTTAATCATCAGCATACATGTGTCAAAATCCATGTTAGCCTTAGCTGTGCATAGGAAAGGTCTTCCTAAAATGATAGATGTTTGACTAAAATCTATAGGTATCTTTATATCTAAGATCAAAAAGTCAACAGGAAAATAATGGCCTTCCACCTTAATAATCACATCATCAATCTTACCTTTTGCTGCCTTCCCGGATCTATCTACCAATTGTAAAATAAAAGAGGCAGGTTTAAGTTCACCTAAATCATATTTGTCAATGACTGCCAATGGTAAAAGGTTCACACTAGAACCAGGGTCTAACAAGACATTATGAAATGGAATATTCCCAATGTCACAACTAATCAAAGAAGTTCCTTTTTTAAAAATCTTGGAAATTTAAAAATATTTAAAGAGACATTTTGACCTTCATATTTCATATTTATAATTTCATTTTTGCAATCAATATTTGCCTTGGCTGTAGCAAGAAATGGGCGTCCTAAGATGATTGGTGCATGAGTAAGATTATCTAAAATAAGAATATCTAAAATCAAAAAATCCACTAGAAATTTATAACCTTTAACATTGATGATCTAATCTTCTAGGAGACCCTTGGGTGTTTTAATGGATCTATCAGCTAGCTGAAGTTCCACTAAAGTTGGTTTTAGTTCTCCTAGTTTTAAATTTTCAAAAAGAGCCAAAAGTAATAAATTAATACTTGCTCCCAAATCTAAGAGCACATTTCTAAATGTAGTTTCACCCACTTTACATCTGATAATAGGTGCTCCTAGATCCTTACATTTCTTAGGCAAAGAATGAGAAATAATGGCACTAGCCTCTTCAGATAAAGATATCTTCCGAGGTGACCTACGAGATGTGCATAATTTTTTTAATTTTTTTGCATATGTAGGTATATGTTTGATTACATTTATCAAAGGAATAGAGATCTGAACTTGTTTAAATATTTCTATAAGCTCTTCATTAGGTTCAGCTCTTTTCCTCAATTTTGATTCCAATCCCTTAGGAAAGGGGATTGTTTTTCTAAGTTCATCTTGCTATGATAAAATAGGAATAGGTGGTACTTCTGATTTTTCTTCTTTTGATTCTTGTTTTTCTTCTTCTAAATTCTCATCATCAGAAAATAAACTATTATGGTCATTATCTTCATCATTCAGTACTTCATCATCATGAACCTGCTTTTCTAAAAAATTTAGTGCATATGGATCTTTAAGTTGCTCTCCACTCTTCAAAGTGGTCACCACTTCTACGTTTTCAAAACCTTGAGATGTAAATGGTTCATGGCTATTAAAAAGTTGATTTCGTGGGTTTATGATGAGTTGAATAGGAAGATGATCTGTTTCATGTTTTGAGTGGGCCAAGGCTAGTTTACTTACCTCTTTTTCTAGCCTAAGGGTTGTTTGCTGATTTTCTTGCCTAATTTTGCTTTATCATCTTCATCATAAATATATTTTTTTCTTGAAATTGCTGCATCATTTGTCGAATAAACTCTTGTATCGAATTTAAATTCATATCAAATTGATTTTGATATGAATTAAGATATTGTGAGTTGAAATTGATGACTGAACTTGAGGAAGAAGGGATGAAATTTTGAGCTGGTGGCTGATGAGTACCTTGTTGGAATTTTGAGTATTTTGCTGAAAAGAAGGCTTAGCATTATATTGTGGTTGATGAAGAGGTCTAAATGTATGGTTAGATCTAGGAAATGATTGAGAATTCATATTATGAGTTGATTGATTCCTATAATCATGAAGTGCACGAATCTAGAAGAGACAAATACAATACGCTATTTAGGTGCATGAATCTAAAAGAGAAGGTTGAAGATAATTTGAAAACTTGAGAAAACTTCTGATCATTTAATTAGTGATTTTTGAAAATGAAATATGTTGAATTTTCATGCATTGAGGAGAATAAAAGTTAAGATAAATGTTTTTTGAAATAATTTATTTGGATATGGAAACATTTTTTATTTTTGATCTTGTAGGAAACTATTTTGAATCACATGAACATCTGAGCATTTATTTGAATGACATCTCTAGTGGAAAAATAAAAAAATAAATGATTCATGTAAAAGAATTAATAAATAGTTTTAACTTTGTAAGTCTTTTGCTTATTGCTAGGGACTAGCAAATTTCACACATATAGTGAATTATTTAGTTTCAGGAGAAATTCCATCTTGGTGGAATAAGGATGAGAAGAATCGATTCTTTCACAAGGTTCGATCTTACTTTTCGAATGACTCTGAACTGATGGGATCACAAGACCTAATGAAGAATCCTCCACTCATGAAAATCAACTCAAGTCAGCAGAGAATAGTCAATCAAAGGCTCAACCTTTGAGGTCAGCCCTTTCAAGAAGAAGTGCCAAAATTAGGGTTCTTCCACCTCGACGAATTCATCTCCAAGTCAATCGGCACCTTCCTCCTCTATTGGATCCAACATGAAATATTGGATCCAAGGCCAATGGGTCCCTACCAGCAAGCAAGAGGATCCATCCACAAAGGATGGCCCAAGAAGAAGAAGAAGAAGAAGAATGTGGAGAGGATGCCATGTCATCCTCACGTCTGTCCTCTCCTTAAACGGGGGGTCGTTTTCAACCAACAGGCGCCACATATAACCTCTTGGGAAAGGGTGTCTCCGTCACCCCTTCTCTCTCATTCTCTCTATAAATGCACAGACTCTCTTGTGTTTAAGGAAGTGATTATACGGAATTAATCAAAGTTTATCTTACCTTCTTGTATTTGAGGGTCATCTCCTTCCCCGGCTCACCCCTTGGACTGCGGGTTCCTCTCCTACTGTCATCGCCTCTTGGATTAGGGGCTTCCCCTCTTCTTCTCGCCCTCCTGGATTAGGGGGACCTCCTTCTCTTCCACTTCACGTCGTCCTCGCTACCCCATCGCTGCCACTCCCTTTATCGCCAGCCACCCTCTCTCCGTCGACCCGCCTCCTCGCCGTCCTCCCATTGCCGTCGTCCCGTCTCCTCGTCGGCTGCCCCCATTGCCGTCGTCCCGCCTCCTCGCCGTCCTCCCCATTGCCGTCGTCCCGCCTCCTCGCCGTCCGCCCCATTGCCGTCGTCCTGCCTCCTCGCCGTCCGCCCCATTGCCGTCATCCCGCCTCCTTGCCGTCCGCCCCATTGCCGTCATCCCGCCTCCTTGCCGTCCGCCCCATTACCGTCGTCCCGCCTCCTTGCCGTCCGCCCCATTCCCGTCGTCCCGCCTCCTTGCCGTCTGCTCCGTTGCCGTCCCGCCTCCTCGCCATCCGCCCGTCGCCGCCACTCCGGCTCCTTGCCGTCCACCCCGTCACCGCCACTTCATCTCTCTCTCCCCAGCCGTAACCCTCGTTCTTCTCTCTCCCGCCGTCGCCACGTTTCCCCGTCTTTTCTCTCTCTCTTTCGCCCGCCAAAATCCTCTTCATCTCTCTCCCCCCGTCGCCACGTACCCTTCATTTTCTCTCTCCTTCTTCCTCTCCCACCGTCACCACGTACCCCTCATTTTCTCTCTCCCTCTTCCTCTCCCGCCGTCGCCACATACCCCTCATTTTCTCTCTCCCTCTTCCTCTCCCGCCGTCGCCACATACCCCTCATTTTCTCTCTCCTCCTTCCTCTCCCGCCGTCGCCACGTACCCCTCATCTTCTCTCTCTCCTTCTCACCCGCCGTCGCAACGTGCCCCCCATTCCTTTCTCTCTCTCTCTCTTCTGCCGATGCCCTCTCATTCCACCCCTTTCCTCTCTCCTCCCTTTTATTTATTGTCATATTCTTTTTATTTGTGCCTTTTATCAGTTATCCTTGAAAGTGTGGTTCTCCTCAAGTAATTATGATCCGAATTCTTCTAACATAAGTGGGATTATTCAAATCATAATCCTCCCTAACTTAACCAAGGGCAATCTTAAATCCTAACCTTCTATTCAGTATTGAAATTTCTCTTTGGTCCTGCATCATGAACACTATATTCTTGGGCCAGATTAAATCTTGAGAAGATGTGTTCTTGATGGTCAGCAACAAAGTATTTTAGATTTTTGCCATGCCACAGATTGCGGTAGACATTTTTCAAGTAAGAATACTAACACTTTTTCTAGATTTGGATGTCCGCGAGCAATCATCAATGATGGAGGATCACATTTCATGAATCAACGCTTCACGAATTATCTACAAACAATGGGCAAACTGAAGTGAGCAATCGTGAAATTAAGAAGATACTTCAAAAGATTGTCAAGCAAAATAGCAAGGATTGGGTTGAGAGGTTGAATGACGCATTGTGGGCTTATAGAACTACTTATAAGACACCCATAGGTATGTCACCATATCGTCTAATTTTTAGCAAACCTTGTCATTTGCCTGTAGAGATAGAGCACAAGGCATATTGGGCAATTAAACAACTCAACATGAACCTTACACAAGCAAGAAAGCATTGAATGTTGCAACTGAATGAGTTAGAAGAACTCCGCAATGAAGCCTATGAGAGTTCGAAGATATACAAAGCCAAAACAAAAGCTTTTCATGACAAACACATTGTTCGAAGGCAAATTCAGCCGAAACAAAAAGTTTGGCTTTACAATTCAAGGCTATGCTTATTTCCAAGAAAGCTTAAGTCTAGATAGACAGGTCCTTACATTGTAGTGGAAACATATGATCATGGAGTAGTCTTGATTAAAGATCCCAAGAATGATCATACATTTGAGGTCAATTGTTATAGACTTAAACCTTATTTGCAGCATACCATTCATGAGTCTCAAGAGATTTATTTGCAGGATCCATGAGTTCATTGACATTTGGCTGACGACGTTAAACTTAGCGCTTGTTGGGAAGCAACCCAATCATTTGCAATTGTTATTTTTCTTTTCTACTTTTATGTATTATTTTATTTTTTTTGTAAAGAAGATGACCAGTTAGATGAGCTTCTCACTAGACTAAGATGATTGCAGATGATATAACTAGTTAGTACAATCCTCAAAGGATTGATGTCCACCTTGCACTATTAAGAATGACGCATGTAGTAGAGAATGTGTCACCCTTGTCTACTTAGTCTATTAGTATAGTGGCTATAACACATGGGAGGATATTTTTCTTCTACAAGTATATAGATGTTGGGAGTTCTTCCTGAATACTTACGACGAGAGAAATGCCCTGGTGTCTCACAACACACTCCCTGTGTGTTCTTCAGATTCTACCCTTTTGCATCATTCTTAAGCAAAGTGTTTCTCTTCAATACTCACAATGAGAGAGATACCTTGATGTCTCATAGCGTACTCCCTGTGCATTTCTTCAAATTCACTCTTTACTTTGCACTTTGGTTTTTTTTTTTTTTTTAAATAAAGGTGGCATTTATCCTTCCCATGTGTTGCCTAAAATAGACAAGTAGCTTAGTTCCCTAAAGAGGTTTTGTATCCCTCTATGGCTTAGGGGGCTTCACTCTGTCATAAATATTATTTGCCAAAAAGGATGACACAAGCTCTATTACATGTTAAAAAAATGATTTTCATGTCAAGCTTAATCAAAACTAACTCAAGTGAGATGAATGAGTAGGTTGAGAAGTTGTAAGAATCAAAGAGGGTTTGAGAAAGCATGTGCTATGAGCTTGAGATGCATGCTTAGATCCAATTCACTCCTTGAGATCCATACTTAAACCCTTAGCTCAACATAGAATTTAGAACATTAAGTGGTTATTCAATTTCACTCCTTTATGATCAACCCATGTTCTTTTTTCTAAATCTCTCACCCCCCAGCTTACTCGTTTTATTGTCCTCAATAAAACCAAGCATACTTTGCAAAGAATATATCAAGTAAAAGTATGCTTCACAAGATACTAAAATTATGGAGAATAATAGGTTTGGCAAAACTCATTGTGCATTTTAGACAATTGCTGCCGATCTTCTTCTTCTTGTTCTTGAACTCCTACTCCTTGTGTAGAAGCTCCATGTATTATGATGAGGTGAATTTTTCTTACTTATTTAGTATGCTTACTATTATGTAGAGCAATGAGAAGTGTGCTTAGGTTCATAAAAGTGTTTTGAAGTATATACTTTGGAAAATACTTTGACACTGAGGGATCATTCATATCATCTCTGAAATTTAGTGTGCTTAGGGCACCAAGTTTATTTGCGTGTCCTTAGCATAGACCTTAGAATCATTTGAGAGGGATCATTCATATCATCTCTAATAGATGTTTAACCCATGACTATTTGAATCATTTTGTGGTCTTAAGATATAATTTATATGTCCATTACTTAGGGACTAGCAATGATTCAAGTTGGGGGGTGTGATAACACAAATTCTGTATGTTAAGTATGACATAATTTGGACAATTAATGCTTAATTTTATGCAAAATTATATTTAACTATACATAAAATAAGTGAAGCATAATTTATGATAAATTTTCTAAATACATGCTTAATTTTGTAAATTTTTCATATTTTCTATAGTACATGTATTTATTTATTTATATCATTCACTTGAATAATAATTATAAAGAAAATATCATTTGATGTCTAAATTATGAATTGAATATTTTATAATGATTTAATGTGATCAAATTAATTTCTTGAATTTAAGAGATTTTTTTGAATTTTTCTGAGTATTATAAGATTTATTTCAAGTTTAAGTGAATCTTCTAAAGGTTTTTCTATTTTTCTGAAATTTTCTATTAAATCGGAATTAATATCAGTGCTTTGACTCATTATTATTTACATTAAAAAACATAATCCATATAATGTTTATGATTTATTATGCATCTCTTAAGCTCGAAAGTCAACTCATGTATAAATGAGTTTAGATTTACCATGTTGATTTCTCCGTTATGCCTAATTTATTATATCTATTTGTTAAACGGGTAATAGGCTTTATTTTAATATTATGTTTCAGGTCATGCAGGCCCATGGGCCGGCTGGACAGCCCACATTAATTAAGGAGGAGGCCCAACAAGAAGGAGGCGTTTTCTCTCCCCTCAAATTAAGGAAACTTCCCACTTAAGGTGGGCAGTTCATTTCTTCCTTAATTAGAGGGAGGGGTATGTGGCACCATCTGATCAGCCATGCCCCTTGCCTCATTAAACAACCCTTGGGACTATCTCAGCCCCTCAATCAGCCCAATCCAAGGGCTGAGATAAGTCCTAAGGTGAGGGAAGGTGGGGAGACATCCTAGTAGCCGTCCACGTCCCTTAGGCTGCCTTTGGAGAGAGAAATCTAATCCAAGGGCTATGCACTCTCCACCATGATCCAAGGGATGAGAATGGGCACGACCAAGGGGAGAATAAAGAGCCATCAAGAGGAGAGAGAAGGCATTCCGTTCATAGGAGAGGGGTGCCCAAGAGGGAGAGAGGAGATCTCCAAGAACTTCACTCCTTGAGCCAATCTAGGAACTCCAAGGGATCCATTTGAGCACTCCAAACAACAGAAGGCATCTTTCATGTATTTGGTTTTCTTTATGTATTACATTTTATTTTGAATAAATGAGTTTTATTTTCTTATTGACTTCTCTTCTTCTTGAGACCCTCTTGGTGAGAAAGAGTTGATCCGGTTGAAGAGTAAGTAGGGATTTGATTCTTTGATCTCTAGAGTGACACTAGGTTGATCATAGGATAGAATCCAACCCTTCTACCCTTCTCTTGCTTCTCTTGATGTATGTGGATCTCTTGATTTATCAAGATTTATCACATTTCTAAGAGTGAACAAGGTAGGGTAGATTTAGGATACTTTAGATCCTTCTTTTGATCCTTCTCCTTCTATGTATGTTTGCTCCTTTGATTCATCAAAGTTGAGCATTCATTAGAAGTATAGAGACATAAGGAGAGGTTAGGAAGTAATTTAGGAGTAAATTAATCTACTTTAGTCATTCTATTAATCTCCTAGGTGACATAGAATGATCTAAGAAGATTAGAGTTTTTATTTATGCACATTAGGGTTAAGAAATTTACAATCATCCCAAATTTCACAATTTGCTTCTCACCTGATTTCCCTTCTCTTGATGCCTGAAAAATCATCAAAAGAAGATTCATCTATTCCCCCTTTAAAGTGTTTAAGTCAATTCTCTTCTATCTCTTCATCTCATTCTTCATCAAAAATTCAATCTTGAGTAGAAGTTAAATCCCACCTTAGTTTAGACAACTCCTTATGGTTCAACTCAGATACTTCTTAAATTATACTCATTAGTATCATTAGGAAGACATCCAAAAATTATTAATTTTATTTATTGACACTTCTTAATTTATGACATTTTTGAGCGATCAGGCCTCAAGAATCTTTTTATGAGGCATGGGAGAGAGTTAGGGATTACATCTGCCAGTGTCCACATCATGGGATACAAAATTGGCAACTTGTGTAGATTTTTTATGAAGGTTTGAATGAGAGAGATAGGCACATGATTGATGCTGCCTCAGGTGATACTTTTATGAACAAATATGGAGATGAAGCTATTGATCTTATTGAAACATTGTCAAAAAATAGTGCACATCGCTATGCTTTAAACCAGAATGGTAGAACTTCAAGATTTAGAAAAAGAGGTATCCATGATGTGAAAAATATAGAGAATTGACTACTTATTGATAAAGTAGATAAACTGACTGAATCTGTACAAGTACTGATGAATAAATCCACAGCAAATGGATTCGTCCAGCAGCCTCCCAACCAAGAGCAAGATATGTCAACATGTGCACTATGTTCAAGCTATGAACGTGTAGAAGTTGACTGTCCAAAATATGACTAGATCATGGCAGTCAATGGACAACTCAAACCAGACTAATTTATTTCGGACAATATTTGGCAAGGACATGGGCAAAATGTATTCTCCAACAATAACTATAATGTAAATTATAGACACAACTAGTTTGGCACTAATCAAGCCAATGGTTGAAGGAAAAATCAGGAAACAGTCCATCAGCCAGGGCCATTTGTTCCTCCACAGAACTTGTCATGTCAAAGGCAGCATTTTCAAAATCAAGATATTTTTCCTTCGAATCATCACTTATAGTCACATCCAGGTGGATTTGATTTGTCTACATAGGAGCTGCTAAAGCAGATGCTGCAAGAACAGCAAAAGCTACGTCAAGAAATGGAACGAATGAAATTGCAGATTGAATGAAGACAGCAGTCTGATCTGAATGGATCCGAGAAGCGGAATGATAAGCAGCTAGAAATCGGCAACAGCAACAGAAAAGTACATCAATTTCCAATACAGTCATCTATTAATCCTCAGAATTTGATTAATTATTCGGGTCAACATCATGTCAATCAAGTTGATTGCCATGATCAGGGCAAAGAAACACTAAATGCTATTTCCAAACTTTGAAATGGGAAGATCTTATCTGATCCTTATTTTGTGAGTGCAGAAAATTCAGAGAATGAGCAAGAGGAACCAATAACAACCCGAGATGTGAATTCGACAAAAGGTAAGGATAAAGAGAAGGAGACAGTAGATCCTAATCTGGAAAAATACAGCCCTCCAATTCCTTTTCCTGAAGCTTTAAAGGACAATAAGCCCAAGATTATTCCTTTGATACAAAAAATTTAGAAATTTTTAAGCAAGTCACCATTAGTATTCCTTTGATAGATGCAATCCAGCACATTCCTTCTTACGCTAAATTTCTAAAAGGATTGTGCACTCCTGCGAAGAAACATAAATGATTTCAATTGTGTAAAACAATAAGTTTGATTTTATTAAATTAGATCCCAACAAAGTGACGAGATCTAGGAGTTTATCTCAATTAATTTTAATAAGTCGTTCCATGAAACTAATGACTCTCTTAACTCCATTGCACAAGCCTAGTAGTTACTCTCTTTTTAATTTTTATTTTAGTATTTTTCTTTCGTGTGTGCTTTGTTTTGTGTTTGTATTTTCTTTTCTATGTAGGATGGCCTTGAAATGTCCATGATCTTGAGCTGCTGAGAGAGATGATCATAGAAGTCACGAAGGGCTACCTCCATTCGTGCAAATTAAGTATCTACCCTCAGTTTGCAAAATTTTACTT